ATATTGAAACTTTTATCCTTCTCTCTATAAAAGGTTATAATTATTTCTTAAAGTTAATTTGTGAAAACATAAAATAAAGTATTTTAATTAGACATGTGTAAAACTTGTAGTGAATTAACCTTTGATTCAGTTTCTATCTAGCATATTTTCTAGGAAATTAAAATATCTTTTAAACAAATTTCTGTAGGTCTGTTATATAATTTTATCATAATAAATAGAATTGTATAAACTCTTCAGTAATATTCATCCTTAAATGATTATATGTGTGTGTATGTATGCTGTTATCATTTCAATAAAGTTTTCATTCATATTTAATTGGCAAAAGATAATTTTATTATATGATGGTATACTAAGAAAACAGATCAGTCTCTATATTATATCAGTAAAATAATATGAATGTTAATAAATAAAATGAAAACATAAAGATCATTTTTTTAGAGGATGATGCAGCATAGTTCAGGGCTGGGGAAACAGTTCAGTAGTAGAGGGTTTTCCTTACCTGGGTCCAATCCCCAGCACCACCAAAAAGAAAAAAGTAAAAATAAATGCAGCATAGTTCAAATTATAGGATTGTCTGTTTGTCTCCTTCAAATTTGATTACCATCAGTATAGTCAAAGAACATTCATATCCCCAAAATAGTACACTGTCACATGGAGCAAATATAAGGTAAATCAGCCACTAGAAAGAACATTAACCTTAATTTATCATAGAGTAGATACCTTGAGTAAGAATAAAATACGGACAGGCTATGACTTTTAAACAAGAATTTTCCTTTGCATTTAGAGAGGTAGGGAGAGTTACCATCCCTTAGGAAAAAAATAGGTAGTAAGGAATTAAGCTTAACCCAGTAAGGAATAAATGAATAACTGAACAAAGAAAAAAAATAAAGAAAAGAAAGAAAGACTGACCTTGGAAGATTCTATGGAAGAATTTTAGAAATTCATCTTAAATGGTGCATCTACTCATATATATTTAAGGACTGGATTATACAAAACTAGGTGCACTGCTGAATTTATGGGTTACTAAATGGTCAAATAAATTGGTTTAATATATGAAAGTAAGGATACAGATGAGAAAAGGGAATGACTCTAAGACTCTAAGTGGAGGAGTGGCATTTGTGCATATTCTTAGGACACGTGAATCCTTGTGTTACATGAGCCTCTCTATACCACAATTAAGTTGAACATGTCTA